CAGTCCATGGCAGGCTGAGGCAGGGATGTTGGAGGCCAGCCTGAGCAGACTAGCCTGAACTACATAGTGAGCACCCAATTGGTCTAAGTCACTTTGCTGGGGTGAGGGCACTCATAGAGACAGAATCACAGAACAGTGGTTACCAGGATCTAGGGGCAGGCAGAGAGAAGCCAGGAATTACTGTTTAATGATACACAGTTCCAGCTGAACAAGGTGGAGACTGGCTACTCAATATTGAGTGATCCTGTGGAGCAGAATGGTTGTGCTGGGTTAGGGTTCTTCATGCAGACAGGAACTGTTGTCATTGGTTCTCTTTTCTCTGCAGACAGATGACCACAAGACAGCAGTAGGAAGTGCCCCTGAGCACTAAGCAGGCTCTGCACAGACCATCTTCACTTTCTGCAGCATTCTTATTGGTGACATTGTCCTCAGTTTAGTAGGAAGGTCACCAAAGTTTGTGGGGTGAGCAAGAATCAAATGAGTTTCACCCTTAGGTAACTAGTGTCCAGTTCAGGGCTCTGTGGTGGTGATGGCATGGATGAGGCTCTGGGGTACTGATATCTCTAAAGCAGCAGTTCTCAACCTGTGGGCTGCAACCCCTTCTATGGGGATCACCTAAGACCATGAAAAACATAAATGTTTACACTACAATTCATTACAGTAGCAAATTACAGTTATGAAGTAGCAATGAAAATGATTTTAGGGTTGGCGATCTCTACAGCACTGTATTAAAGGGTCGGAGCATTAGAAAGCGGCCCAGAGAAGGACATGTGCCATAGAGCTCTCACACAGCACCCCTCAAGCTGGGAAGAAGAAATGAGCTGAAATGAGAGAAACCAAGGAATGCTGTTACTGCAGACTCCAGTGCTGTGGAAGGGCAGGACCGAGCTGTTTGGGCCAGAGGGTGAAGACATGGTCATGGAAAATGTGACAGCGAGTGATAATTTTAAAAAGCTGAGGCCAGTGGGGGCATTCCAGAGAAAGCAAGAATGAGCATGGCCTGAGGGCAGCATGGAGGTGTGTGTGTGTGTGTGTGTGTGTGTGTGTGTGTATGTGAGTGTGTGTGTGTGTGTATGTGAGTGTGTGTGTGTGTATGTGAGTGTGTGTGTGTGTGTATGTGAGTGTGTGTGTGTGTGTGTGTATGTGAGTGTGTGTGTGTGTGTGTGTGTGTGTGTGGTGACATCTGAATGCTGGGTGGTCAGGCTGCCTCATCCTGCACACCAGCCTGTGCCTACATTTCCTCTCCAATAAAATGGGATGCCACTATGGTAGGAATAAACATTTTAAAAATAGGCATAAGCTTCTATGTAGGGTTAAACTAGCTAATATATATATAAAGTGAGGTGGAGGGGGGGAGGCAGACAAACCCTGTAGCTGTTCCCATTTGCCATATTACTGGCACAGTTTACAGGAGCCAAGGACAAACCTTTCCTCTCAAAGATTCCCCCAGGAAGAAGAGGGACCAAGCTGAGTGACACAGAGGAGAGCTCCAAGATCTAACACGTGCCCATGGCTGTTGAGAGGCATCCCTGGAAGACTCTTCAGAGGAGGTGGCAGTTGTGAATCCAAAGGAAGAAGTTTTTCAGAGAGGAAGTTACAGGCAGTGAAGGAGTTCTACAGTGTCAAACCCTGTAGCGGTGGTTGAGAACTGAGCTTGGAGATTTAGGAGGGGGCAGCAGGGACCCAGCAGGGTGGCCTGGGAACCCTGAGGCAGGTCTAGTCTTTTCTGCAACAACAAGCTAGTACTCAAGCTTGCTGCAACAACAAACTCCCATATTTTGAAGTTTTCCAAGCCCCCAAAACAAAATAACAAAATCCCACTCCATAAATGTTTCAAGGCCCACTTGGTGAGCCTTGTCCCTGGAAACGAATGTGTTCTCTGTTAATTCATCTAATCCCATTGTCTCCTATCCACACCTCCAGAGTTCCCACAGTTTCTCAGGGTGTTCTTTCTCTGTGTGGATGTCATCTGTCTAAGTAGGAAGGTCCCTTTGGCAGAACTAGGCCCAGGGTCTAGGGACAGAGATTCTGCATGGGCCAGCTGTTTCCGAGGCTGCTACTGAGGACACAGAACTCCAGTCATCAGTAGTTTGTGGGCTTTGTTCTTCTATAAGATGACAACCTCCTGGATGTCCCCAAGTGTGATCATTGTCTCAAGCCAACACCTTTAAGTGCCTGCAGTCTCCCCACCCTGTTGCCTAGGAACCCCAGCCTCATGTTTCACCAGCGGTGTAGTCTGGGACTGGGTGGGAGGCAGAGATAACATCTACTTCATAGAATTATTCTGAAGTTCACCTTAGGTAGTACACAGAAAGTGCATCATAGATGCTCAGCCTACCTTCTGCCAAGTAGTCACTTACTCAGTATTATGTTAAGTGCCATGAGACACAATGAGGATGATATGTGCTTCATTTGGTTTCCATCCCGAGGAATAGGAAACCAATCAGAGAATGAGTATTACCAGCTTTCTGTGCACCCAATATCATGCTAGGCTAGTGACAAATTGAAATACTCGCAAAGCATGACAGCGACCCTTTGTGTACAACTTATCCTCTGAAGACAAGCAAATATGTACAAAAGAAGTCAAAGGCCCATACAAGATGTAACAATGCCAACGGAACAGATCCCAGAGAAACATCATATACCCAGGTTGCTGCTAGGTGGGTCCGATGATCCAGAGGAGTTCAGGAGGCCTTGGGAGCAAGAGATACGGAGAAGACAGGAAGGAGAGTGGGGTTCTGGGTCCCCTTACTGGGGTCTTGCTGGTAGTGGTGATGGTAGCTGGGTCAACAGAAGAAGCTAACTCTTGAACCTCAGATTACCATAGAGGAAATGAGGATCGATGTAGTTGGTCTGGGAGACTCTTGTCAAATGCCAGACAATATGCTGTCTCTACCCTGAGCAACCTGAAGCGCATCACTTTCCTAAATTGCATTTTGTCTTTCTGCCTACAGAGTTGGGATAAATGTGAAATAAGATAGTTCATAAATCACCGGGGGTGGTAGTGGTGAATGCCTTTAATGCCAGCGCTCAAGAGACAGAGGCAGGTGGATCTCTGTGAATTGGAGGTCAGCCTGGTCTACAGAACAAGTTCCAGGATAGCCAGAGTTGTTACACAGAGAAACACTGGCTCTAAATTAATTAATTAATTAATTAAAAATTTAAAAAGATAATTTATAAATGACAAACACAGAACTGACACATGGTTGATTTTATTTTTGTTCATGATAATAAAAAGTCACAATATCATTTAAAGAAATCTTTCTTTTGAGAATACAACCCATCCTTAGCCTTGGACTGCTACAGCATGTGAATGTACTTTCTTGCAATTCTGGGACTCGAACCCTGAGCATCCCTTGGTATTCTGAAAAGGAGTCTTAGTTTGTAATCTAAACTGGTTTTCATTAGACAGCCAGGCTGACTTGGAACTCTCCAGTATCCTTCATAGGCTTCCTGAATGCTGACATTACAGATGTTTGCCTCCATTCCTGCTTGTGGATTAGTCTAGTTTGAAAATGAGTTTTCATATGTCGGTTACTATTTAGTTGATTTGGGAATATAAAACTCTAGCCAATCCAGAGAGGAAAGCCTGCGTGTTCTGTATATCTCAACACCCATCTTCTACTTCCATGAAAGACAATCCTTTAGAGACTCTAGGTAAACACACACAGGCATCATGGACCGTAAGCATGGGACAGGGCTATAGTTTTCTTCCCAAGCCCTCTAACCTAAGCCTGGGCTCCCTCTGTTTGGATTTCAGCCTCTATTTCTCCTAAGAAGATTTAGCAATCCAGGAGAACTGGAACACTCAAGGAAGTCGTCTTCAGCCATGCTAAATGGGAATGAGATTAGCAAGAATATGCAAAAACATTCACCCTCCACCCAACCTGCTTTTAAAACAAACCCTCTACTGTAATCACCAATAGGCCCTAACATTGAGTGATCCTCTGTCCCCTCCCTATACCTTCTCTGGTGGGTGGATTAAGGAGGAGAGCCAAAGGCAGCTGGCAAAGAGAGAGGAGGAAATGGGAAGGAACCAGTAGAGGATCTACAAATTGAGCCATTAGTCCATGAATAATTGAAAGTTGCTTCTGTACAAAAATTGATGCTTTATCTCAGTTTGGCCAGAGCTGAGGCCCTGTGGGCTCTATTCTAGCCTTGTCATGGTAACTGCAGGCCCAAAGCCAGACCTTGCAAGGTATGTCTGTAAACACAGCAGCTGTTGTCGTTACCAGGAAGAAGGTGGCTCCCATGAGTTCGTAGCCCCCACACAATCCTTCAACTGGATATCTTATCACTGAAAAAGAAAGGTCTGGAGATCAGGACCCTGGAACCTAGACAGATAGCACTTTCCACTGTTCAATCTTCCCGTGATGGGAGAGGGACAAGTGATCAGCTAATAGGCCCTGACATTTGGAAAGGTTGGGCAACCTCCTTTGGTTTTTCTTTCAGTGTGATGATATAGAATTTCATGGGGATTAAGGCTGGGGCAACGATTGTATCTGCCCAGCCTCGAGTAGAGACTTGCCATTTCTGCCTTGTTGGCACAGAGCCCCCTTTGTGAGCCACAGTGAGGCTGGGCCACGCTCCCAGCACCAAGAGGGTGGAGAGCCGAGTCTGTCTCAACACTCTGTCCTCACTCACTAACCAAGGAGGGGGGAGGCAGCAAGGATGCTGGAGACAGGCTTGGACATCAGGCCAGTTGTCCTTAAAACAAATCCTGGAATTCTCTGATCTTCAATTCTGCCCTCAACGAAAACAAGATTGTCCACCATTCTGCCTTGTTCTGGTTTCTAGTATCACAGAGTATAGACAGCCCAGACAACTGTCTTCTCTCTCACATGTCTGATTATCACAGCACCTGCGTCCTCACCCTGGGGTGATGGGGGCTGGGAACCTCTGTTTTCTGCAGAAGAGAATGCCCAGACAGGAGCTACTGGTGGAGAATTTTATAGTGTATTGTGGCCCTATGATGTTCTTTGTTGTTCTCTGTTAAAGATTTTGCTTCAAAGGGCAACACCGATGGGTCTCTGCCTCCAAGGAACAGCTCACACTCAAGACAAGTGAAATCAGAGAGCACAACAATCTCCCAAGGGCAGCACTCTCCCTGCCCCACTGGCTGCTTTGGTGGCCAAACCGTGAGAATGGAGATACGTGAGCACTGCTTCCCAGCAGTGTGAGCAGCATGGCTGACAGAGCTCCTGCCCCCAGAAGAGGAATGGTGCTTCCAGCTCCAGGTTAGATCTAATTCTCAAGAAGCTACTGTACCTGGTCTGAGAGGTGGGAGTCCCTTGTCTGACCTGCCCTGTGGGAGCAATGCTGAAGATGGTGAGGATATCTCCAGCACCAATTGACTGCAGTGACTGACTCACTCTTTCCTGCTTTGGGCTTTTGGAAGTTGTAGACCCCAGCCAAAAAGTGACAGAGGGACTACACTCTAAGAATAGAGAGGAAGAAATCATCATCAACAGGGTGGCCAAGGGGAGGAGAGGATGGGAGAGTCAGGATTCCTCGGGCTTCATGTCAAGGCCTCTTCACTCCCTGGCGGCAGGCCTTCAGTACAGAGTCCCCAAATCCGCTTCCTTGGCAGGGCCATCTGCCTCCCCAGGGCAGCCAAAGGAGATGACTCATTTCCAGACCCCGGACGTGGCTCTGACCCCCCTTCCCAGGTGCTGCTTAAGAGGGCCAGTTGAAGTCAGGCAGGGCTGGCACTGATGTCCAGCCAACCTTGCCTTAGGCAAATCTGCTGATTCACAGCCCTCTTCTAAGCAGCCCCTGAGAGCTGGCTTGCTGGAACCTCACAGAGGATCTGATGACAGAGGCCACCTGGCAGGGATTGATCGAAGGGAAGTAGGAACGCAACCACCTGCCATTCTCATCCCATGTTCTAGTAACCTCATGGAGGCCAAAAGTATGCGCTCACAATGAGGGCGTCACGGCCACAAGTGGAGACATGCACATCTTAGGGGAAATGTGACAGCAGGAGAGAGACAGTGCTTCTCATGAGAAGGTGGTACATCGGCTTGAAGAAGCTTACAAATGTAGGTTTGTGCATGGTTACGCTCAGGGGCCTCTGTAAGAAAAGAAATATGTAAGCTGTGCATTAGTGATTAGAAAAGAAGGACAGAGGAGCTGGAGAGCAGTCTCAGAGGTTAAGAGCACTTGCTGCCCTAGCAGAGGGCCCAGGTTCAGTTCTCAGCCTAGAGCCAGTCTGCTGTGACTCCTCAGGAGCTCCAACACCCTCTTCTGGCTCCTGAGGCACCAGGCATGAGCATGGTACATATAAATGCATGCCAACATGACACATGTAAACATAAAATAAAAATAGTGAATCTTAAAAAAAATCACAGGGACATATAAAGAGTAAAACCATGACCCACAATCCAATCCCCACATAACATTTGTAGATGTACAAGTACTGGGTTAAACAATATATTGGAAAAAAAGACACAGAATGAAATGCCAAAATCCTCCTATTATTCCTCACATGCCCAAAGCCACCCTTGGAGAGACGCATATGTACACTTTTCATATACATTGTCCACAAGCATTTTTAATACACCCAAATAACCTCAAGATCATGGTGACATATGCTTATAACCCGAGCACTTGGAGCATATAGGCAGTAGGATTAAGAGTTCGAGTTCAGCCTCAGCTGCAGAGATCCTGTCTTCAAAAACAAAGCAGCCTAAGGAAGGATTGTATGACTCCATGGGACTCCAATCATGCCATGCTGTGTGGGGCCAAAGCATAGTGCCACTGGAGCTGTGGCACTGAATGGGAGTGAGTGTTGTCCTTGTGCCCTTATCGTCAACACAGATACATCTGTCTTACATTTTTATAGCATCTGGCTTCATAGAACCCATCATCTGAGTAGATCACCGTTTCTTCAGCCACTTCCGTGTAGGTGGATAATTTATCTCCTCACCCCACTGCAAAACTCTCCAGTAAACTCCTGGCTCACACATCATAGCAAACTTTGTGGATGCCCAAAGAGGAAATTCTTATCAACAAGGATTCCAGAGTCTGTAAATATATATTTTGATGTCATGGATTAGGCCTAATTCACAACTTCATTATAAAGAACAGCTACTCTAAGGAACAAAGGTTCTCCTGATTTAACTTTTCCCTTCCAGGAAGGATAGACCATTGAGGATCATTTATTATCACAGTGTTGAATGGTTTTTGTATCCAGGTTGCATAGACAAGAAGATGACTTAGAAGAGAAAGAGCAAAACAAATCTGTGGAGTGTGATAGGTATGTCGTCTCCCTATCACTGGTGAGGAGAAAGTGTGGCCAGCCTACTCAAGCCATAGTCAGCCTGACCTGTACCCAGACCAGGCCCCATGCATGGCAGGCACTGCCTCTCTGAGCCAAGCTGCCAAGCCTGCCTCTATGCCCAGAGACTTCTGACTGAGAGACGCCTGACCCAGAGACGTCAATGAGAAAAGGACATACAGTAGAGTCAGTCTCCTGAGCCAATAGGACCTTGGGAGGGGGTATAAAGACAGGCCTAACTTCCTTAACACACAAGTCTGCAGCAAAATATGCTACTCACTGACTCCTGGTGCTTGAGTCGTTGGTACTGGGTCTTCTCACCCCCTCCCCCAATGGGTGTCCAAGTAGGGTAACCTGCAACACAGGTGGGCATGGACTAAAAGGGTTTAACCCCCCAAATTACACCAGGCCTATAGGTTTGGGTGAGTATACGGTGCAGTCTCCAAATAAAAACTTCTCTGTTCCCTCAAAGATTTTAGTCTTCTAGGGAAAGACTCTCTAGTACCTTCTTACATTTATTTACAAGACTTTGTCATTTTTGGCTAAATGTCCTTTGGGGGACATGTTCAGAATTCTTCTTAAAATATTCTTAAAAACCCAACCTGCTCCAGATAGGATCTATCCAGTGTGAAGATGATGCCTGTTAGGTCACAGAGGCTGTCACAGAGGGGATTAGCCACACCTTATAGCCTTCCTAGTATCTTCCTAACTACTAAACTCCCTAAACTCCCTGCATGTAATGGCCCCAAGGTACAGTGGGACAATTGGATTGGCTTCCCAGTTTAGGGCTTTATAACTTGTCTTGTGCCTTTGTTAATCTGCTGCAAGCAGATGCCCATCTCCAATAAGCAAGGAGACCCTGCCCTTTAGGCACAGAGACTTCTGACCTCTAAGTAGGGAGACCCCAAACCTTTAAGCACAGAGACACCTGCCCAATAAGGATAGAGATCCCTGACCTCTAAGTATGGAGACCCGCCCTCTAAGAACCAAGACCCCTACTTTCTAAGCACAGAGACTCCCTACCCCAAAGTCTCTATGTTGCAATTTCCTGTGTCTGTGGGTTGCTGCTGGATCTTACCATATTCCTGCTTCTCTCAGTGCAGGTTCTGAAGGATGTTGTCAAAGGACTGATCACCTCAGCGCCTGTCCATGGAATCCGCACTAGCAGCCTGTCCTTTTCAAACCAACAACCCTCATCTGGGTCCGTGCACACCAGCTGACCACAACCAGTTCAAAGCCAGCTTAGTGACCCCTCAGGTTGCTTGGTTTCACCTTCTATCTCAAATTCTTTCTCTCTTCTCTGAGAATCCCTCAGGCTTTACACAGGGTGGGACTTTCTGAGCCTCAGGGACAGGAGTTTAATTCCATCCTTGTTGAGTCTTATCCTGTTTATCTCATTTATCTCCTCTCTTCAACTAGGACTTTACTACACTCCAAACTTCAGTTATCTCTGCTAGCTTTGATCATCTTCAGATGAGACAAACATGCGCAGGCCAAGGCAGGGATAAGAAACAAAACAGAACACACACACATACATATACACACACATGCATGGGATAAGAAACAACAAAACAGAACACACACACATTCATATACACACACATGCATGCCCACACATACACGCATACTACATACGCACATAAACACATGCACATACATATACACACATGCATGTCCACAGACATACACATGTACCCCCCCCCACACACACACCATTGGCCCAAATAGGCAAGAAGACAAAACCCTGCTGGAGACAGTGACCTGCTCAGAAATCCCACCCACACACTCAGCTCTACCCCTACTTATGTACTTCTTTCAAGAAGTTTTTTGCTTGTTTGTTTCCTGGTGCTGGGGTTGAACATACATACTAACAAGTTGTGTTGCCATGGAACTAAATCTTCAACCTTATTTATCCTTTTATTTTGAGGCAGGGTACTGCTAAGTTGCCCAGACTGACCTTAAACTTACAATCTCCCTAACTCAGCTTCCAGAGTAGCTGAGATTACAGGTCTGCACCCACAGGTGCCAACTTCTACAGGGGTTTGTGGAAGGACTCAGCCAGGTATCAGGAAAGCACTGGTAAGCCATGTCCAAGGGTCTACTAGTCTCCCAGGAGGGGGAGAGTTTGGAGTTCTTGCATTCATTCAATTACCCATCATTTATTGATCTCTGGTTGGGTTATGTATTAGCCAAGAAGTTTTGGGGATGATGCTCAAACCATGTGAGCCTTAACTTCATGATCTATAAGATGGGTATAATCTCACATACTTAGAGCTGATACTGAAATTGAATGAGTCAAGTGACAGCAGGCACCAGTTAATCAGGGGATCCTTGCTCTTGACAGGCTAATTTCCCCGTCTTTCTGGTTCTGGGGGATAAGCGCCACCTCTCACTCTAGCCCTGGAGGCATCCTTGGAGTCTCTTGGTCTCTCTCCCTCACATGGGTTACTTGAGGTTTTATCACTTCAAGGGCACTTTCAGGCCCTCCTGACAGATAATGTCAGCCCTCTCTGAAGATTTTAGGGTCTGCCCACCTTAGGCCTACTGCTGAGGGGACTGTGCAGTTTTTACTGAAACCTCCTGCCAGCCCATAAAGGTAACAGTGGGAGCTGCCTTCAAAGAGAGTGGACAGCGACCTCAGACTGAGTCTGAGTGACTAGGAATCCACCCTCTAGACCCTTCCAACCAGTGAGCTCTGTCTCAACTCTTCCCCTTCCTCTTCCATGTAAACGGGTTCCACTTCGGCACACCTGTGGTGACACCTCGTTTGTACTCTGATAAAGCTTGCCTGAAGATCAGAGGGCAGAATTAGCCACGAGTTAACCACAGAGGTCTGGAGGTCTGTACAGACAGACAGGAAGTGATATTGAATATAAGAGAGGACTATAAGGTGGGAGGGACAGAAGCTCGGGCTCTCTTTTCAGTCTGAGGATTTCATAGCGGTAAGAACTCTATGAAAGCTGGCTGCCCTGCTTCTCTGATCTTTCAGCTTTCACCCCCTACTATGTGACTCTGGGTTTTAATTGTTAAGACCAATTAGAACTCGTGCTACACAACCCTTCCCCAGCTATGCACCTCTGAGCAATTAATTCAGTTATCAAAGATCCACCCCACCCTGTCTTAGATCCTGACTCCACCATTCTTTTAAGGTCACCCAGGGGTCTTCATGAACCTATCCCAGGGAGAGTCACTTACCCTGACTGCATCCTAAGTGGCTGACCTTTTTGAACTTCAGACAATAGCACAGTGAAGGTTTCCTAGCTGAGTTCACCTGCCCTCCATTCCTTCCTGTTGTGGGATCTCAGCTCCTGTTAAATGAAGATGCAGCTTAAAACACTGCATTGGGAGGGGGTTGAGTAAGTGGGAAGGAGGACTCCCAGACCATCCTGCTGATGCACAGGGTAGGAAAGATAGCACTTGGCAAGCTTGGTGATCAGTATGGTACCCAGATGAGCTAAGGGAGCCCAGGCACCTGGAGAGACAGCAGCCAGAACGCACTGGGAGCCAGACCACATTGGTCTATATATACCAGAATTACCCCGGTGTCTGATGCACTCCTTCGTTCACCCAAATTTGATGAGGAAGCAAAGGCTCAGAGGGTCTCAGACAAGCCTAAAGCCCTGGAGTTTGAGAGATAAGATCTTATCCAGGTGTTTTGTTTTGTTTTTCAAGACAGGTAACACTCCTGGGTAACAGTCCTGGCTGTCTTGGAACTCACCGAGATCCACCTGCCTCTGTCTCCCAAGTGCTGAGATTAAAGGCAGGTGTCACCTCCTCCCCAGTTTTTTTTTTTTAAGACAAGGTCTTGCTATATAACCCAGGCTGGCCTGGTATTCACTATGTTGCCCAAACTGGCTTCCCACCTACTGTAATCTTCCTGCCTCAGTCTCCTATCAGTCCAGAGACCTCAAGTACCTTTTCAAGTGTGAGTAAAACTTAAATTTTCATTAACAAGGTGTTTTTATGACAAGCTGCCCATTTGACCCTGCCACAGTGTTTTAGGAACAGACTGATGAAAAAAATTAACTTGAAAAGATTGTCTGTGTCATTCAGAACTTAAACTCAGGCTTCTCTGACCCCAACATTGCTGCTTTGAACCATAGACTGAAGTGAGAGATGCATTTCAAGAGCCAGATGCCATCCCCAGGAATGCTACTGGGAGGTATCATTGTGAGAAAGAGCTGCATCCAGGTTCAGCAGGCAAAATGGCGTGGTTGTTTAGCAATGCCTGCCATGGGCCCAGGATGGGGAGGTGATGCCATTTTGCCATCTCTGATAGATGATATTGAATTATTAGGCTCTGCATCATACTCTCTCAGCACATTGTTTCTGAAGTCATGGCTCCTACCGTTCCTGTCTCAGCCATAAGGAGCTTTGGCAAAGCTGCCAAGAACTGACAAGGGGTAGCTGAACAGAGCACTGTTAAGAAGTACCATGACGCCGGGCGTTGGTGGCGCACGCCTTTAATCCCAGCACTTGGGAGGCAGAGGCAGGTGGATCTCTGTGAGTTCGAGGCCAGCCTGGTCTACAAGGGCTAGTTCCAGGACAACCTCCAAAGCCACAGAGAAACCCTGTCTCGAAAAACCAAAAAAAAAAAAAAAAAAAAAAAAAAGAAGTACCATGACATCTATGGGGCAGAAAGCAAGGAAAGAGATGTCTCCATAGAGCTATGTCTCCATGGGGCTAGGGAGAAACCTGATGCTAGGGAAATTCCCAGGAATCCACAAGGATGACCCCAGATAAGACCCCAGCAATAGTGGAGAGGGGGCCTGAACTGGCCTTCCCCTGTAATCAGATTGGTGACTTCCCTAATTGTCATCATAGAACCTTCATCCAGTAACCGATGGAAGCAGATGCAGAGATCCACAGCCAAGCACCTGGCAGAACTACAGGAGTCCAGTCGAAGAGATGGAGGAGGGATTATATGAACAAGGCGGGGGTGGGGTTGGGGTTGGGGGAACTGGTATCAAGATCATGATGGGGAAACCCACACAGGCAGTTAACCGGAACTTGTGGGAGCTCACAAACTCTAGACTGACAGCTGGGGAACCTTCATGGGACAGAATCAAGCCCTTTCCATGTGGGCAACAGTTTTGTAGTGGGACCAGGATCTATCCCTGGTGCCTGAGCTGGATTTTTGAAGCCCTTGCTTGGTTCTGCCTCAACTGAATATGCCAGGCTTTGTTGACTCCCCATAGGAAGCCTTACCCTTTTTAAGGAGTGGATGGGGGTGGGTTGGAGGCAGATGGGGGGTGAATGAGGAGAGGGAGGGGGAACTGTGATTGGTATGGAAAATGAATAAAAAATGAAATTAAAAAGAAGTAAAATGATATATTGTCATGCCAGAATCTTTTGTCTGTCATATAGGACTTAATCACCTCTATATAGAAAAGATACTTAGAATTTTTAATTTTCAAACTTTTTTTTTTAAAGAGAGGATCTCATATAGGGTAGACTGATCTCAAACTTGATACACAGCCAAGGATGACTTTAAACATCTGGCCCTCTTGCCCGTACCTCTAAAGTGCTGAGATTACAAGTAGGCTCTAAAGTGTTAATGACAGGGGGACACATAATATGCCATCATTTTTGTCTATCTTTAAGGCACCATATTACCATTGGGCTACAGCTCTATCTTCTCTGCTGTGTTTTCTTGGAGAATGGTAAACTGTCCGAGACTGTCCCAAGAAAACAACCTGAAATGTACCTGTGGGTGGTAACATGGCCACCAAGAGAAACATTTGCTGCTAGTGGTCCATAAAGCAGAGGCCATCTGCGCAAGATGGGACATGGACTGTGTACCAAAGGCTTGCCCACCTCATGGCTTGTCCAGCCCCAGGAGCCATGTCAGTGACCCCAGAAAAGATTATTGAGTCACTTGCTGGCCCCCTTAACATGCCTTATATCACTTATGTATATACAGGCACAATGACATGTGTTTCCATTTTCTTTCGTCTCCTTGGAATATGCGTCTAGATAGATCCTGAGTTTAAGGAAACCATACGCAATAGGAAAGGCAATAAGGACAGCCCTTACCAAGCCAGGAACACATGCCCTGTGCCTCACCAGCTCCCCCCACACCAGTGTCAGCCTATCCTTGTGCAGGCACCTCCTCTGCTGCTATTCCCAGATTGCCTGGCAAATGGTTTCTAGTGATTCTGTCTCCTTCTCCTGCTTCTGCCTTCAGCAACTGTGAGATCCTGATATGTTATTTCCCTGACCACCTGCTAGTTCCTTCCCTTAAAACAGAGATAATTGTAGTTTTACCTCCTGGGGTTGTTGGAAAACTTAAATGAGCTTTGGAAAAACTTAAATGAGTAAATATGCAGTTCAACTCTTAGAAGCGTGCTCAGCGTGTCTGAAGCACACATAGGTATTAGTAATTAATGTTATTACTCATCCTTCAAGACTGAACTTGAACATTATCTTTATAATAAAGCATTGCAAAAATTACCACACACAGAGTCAAATAGAAAGGGTTATCCAGAATAGATTCACAACACATATGACAAAGGACCAACTTCTTTCATTTACAAGGAACAAACAGAACACTGGAGGAAGACAATCACTCAGTAGGAAAGTACCCAAACATGCAGTTTACAGGCAAGAAAAACAAGTGGTTAATAAATAAGAAAAGACATTCAGTGTTGCTCATACATAGTCAGCCAAAGCAGTAATGAAAGGCTACGGGTCTAGCTTACCAGCTTGGTGAATGTTCTCAAGTCTGATTAATACCCAGTGCCAGCAAATAACCATTTACATATGCTATTTTTTATTTCTAGTGCTGGGATTTGAACTCAAGGCCTGGCACGTGCTGGGTGAACACCTACCACTGAGCTACATCTTCAGCCATGCATATAAGGAGTAAAGATTTTTGCAGACATTTCAGTGAACATTTTGGAAAGATCCCTCAGCACTAAAAACATAGTCCCTTAAATCAGAATCCCCCCTTCTGTTTACTGGCACTTCATAAAGAGCAATGTATGTTTATAGTGTAGTTTAGAAATGTGCCTGGAAGAAAGGCATTCAGTAAATATTCGATGAATACATGCATGAACCAAAAACATGTGCATTGAAGTAGAGCTTGTAATACACAAAAACTGAAAACAACCCAGCAACAGGAGAGAATTTAAAGAAATCATGGGACACTCATATAATAGAGAGCCAGCCCTATAGCTGTTAAGGCCAATGTCATACATCTGTGTGTTTGATTTAAGATGACTTCTAATGGACAAGACTAAACTAAATTCTACAATAGGAAGTTCAATGCAGTACACATTGTGTGTGATCACTGATAAACAAAAAATACTACAACATTCTTGTCCTAGTCTGAGTTACTATTGCTATGAGGAAACATCATGGCCAAAAGCAAGTTGGGGAGGAAAGGGTTTGTTTGGCTTATATTTCCAGAGCACTGTTCATCACTGAAAGAAGGCAGGGCAGGAACTCAAACAGGACAGGAACCTGTTTGCTACAGGGGCCATTGAGGCAGGCTGCTTACTGCTTGCTGGTCATGGCTTGTTCAGCGCTCTCTCTTATAGAGCCCAGGACCACCAGCCTAGGGATGGAACCACCCACAGTGGACTGGACCCTCCCTCATCAGTCACTAATTAAGGAAATGCCTTACAGGCTTGCCTGTGGCCCAATATTATCTTTCTCAGTTGAGGCTCCCTCCTCTCTGATGACTATAGCTTGTGTCAAGCTGGCATAAAACTAGCCAGCACACTCTTTTTTTTTAATTTTTAAATTTAAATTTAAATTAAAAACAAGGTTGCTTCACATGTCAATCCCAGGTCCCTCACCCTTTCCCTCCCCTCCTCCCTCGCCCTCCCACTAACACCCCCAGCACCCCCTCATTTCCCAGGGAGGGTGAAGCCCTCCATGGGGTGCCCATAGTCTGTCATTTCATCCAGGGCAGGGCCTAGACCCTCCCACAAGAGTCCAGGGTGAGAGTGCATCTCTCATTGTGGGATGGGCACCCAAAGTCCATTTGTATGCAAGGGATAAATACTGTGTCCTTTGCCTTACAGAAGTTTCTCAGTTTCAGGAGGTCCCATGCATTAGTTGTTGACCTCAGTGTCTGTGCTACTGGTGTTATGTTCAGGAAGCTGTCTCCTGTACCAATTCGTTCAAGGGTACCATTCACTTTCTCTTCTAAGAGGTTCAGCATGACTGGATTTATGTTGAGGTCTTTGATCCATTTGGACTTAAGTTTTGTGCATGGCAATAGACATAGATCTATCCACATTCTTCTATATGCCAGCATCCAGTTATGCCAGCACCATTTGTTGAAGATGCTTTCTTTTTTCCGTTGTATGTTTTTAGCTTCTTTGTCAAAGGTCAGATGTTCATATGTGTGTGGGTTAATACCAGGGTTTTCAATTCGATTCCATTGGTCTACCTGTCTATTTTTGTGCCAATACCAAGTTGTTTTCAGGACTACAGCTCTATAATAGAGCTTGAAGTCAGGGATGGTGATGCCTCCAGATGTTGCTTTGTTGAGTAAGGTTGTTTTGGCTATCCTTGGTCTTTTGTTTTTCCATACAAAATTGATTATTGGTCTTTCAAGGTCTGTGAAGAATTTTGCTGGTATTTTAATGGGGGGATTGCATTGAATCTGTAGATTGTTTTGGCAGGATTGCCATTTTTACTACATTGATCCTACCTATCCAAGAGCATGGGAGATCTTTCCATTTTCTGGTGTCGTCTTTAATTTCCTTCTTTAAAGACTCAAAGTTCTTGCGATACAGTTCTTTCACTTGTTTGGTTAGCATTACCCCAAGGTATTTTATGTTGTTTGTGGCAATTGTAAAGGGTGATGTTTCTCTTATTTCTTTCTCAGCCCTTTTATCGTCTGTATATAGTAGGGCTACTGATTTTCTTGAGTTGATCTTGTATCCTGCCACTGTGTTGAAAGTAATTATCAGCTGTAAGTTCCCTGGTAGAGTTTTTTTGGATCACTTATGTAAACTATCATATCATCTGTAAATAGTGAAAGTTTGACCTCTTCCTTTCCTATTTGTATCCCTTTGATCTCCTTTTGTTGTCGAATGGCTCTGGCTAGAACTTCAAGTACAATATTGAAAATGTATGGAGAGAGTGGACAGACTTGTCTTGTTCCTGATTTTAGCGGAATTGCGTTGAGTTTCTGTCTATTTAGTTTGATGTTGGCTGTTGGTTTGCTGTATATAGCTTTTTATTATGTTTAGGTATGTTCCTGTTATCCCGATCTCTCCAAGACCTTTATCATGAAGGGGTGTTGGATTTTGTCAAAAGATTTTTTCTGCATCTAGAGAGATGATCATGTGATTTTTGTTTCTCAGCTTGTTTACATGGTGGATTACATTGATGGATTTTCATGTTGAACCATCCCTGCATCCCTGGGATGAAACCTACTTGGTTGTGGTGAATGATTGTTTTGATGTGTTCTTGGATCCGATTTGCCAGTATTTTATTGAGTATTTTTGCATCAATGTCCATGAGGGATATTGTTCTGAAGTTCTCTTTCTTAGTTGTGTCTTTGTGTGGATTGGGTATCAAGGTTATTGAAGCCTCATAGAAAGAATTTTAGCCAGCACACTCTTACACTCTCTTACATACACTTTTCTTTCCTAGAAAGAACTTAGAAACTCTTTACAATACCTCTGCGGAGAAGAGTCTGGAACAGGGAGATGTAAAAGGAGAGACGAGTTTGTTATTTGTAGTTTCCTCTTCCCTCCCCTTCTCGCTCTTTCCCCTCTCCTCCGCTTCTTTCCCCTCTCTTCCCCTTCCCCTTCCTTTCCTCCTTTTGTCCTGTATGCTACATTGACTTTATAAGCCACTAAAACAAGTGTACTTTGCTGTTTAGTAGCTTTCCAAGATCTTCCCTGGATACCCCTGAGCTGCCTCCTGCCTCTCATCTCTTCACTTCCTGCCCTGGCATACTGTGTCC